CCCCCAGGACCCCCGCACCCCGAGGGCCGTCCCACCCCGAGGGCCGAGGCCCCTGCACGCCGCACACGCCACAGCGTGAGGTCATGGGTCAGGGGCGCCCTGACCACACGAAGTTGGGGGGCAGAACTGGCAGGTCTCCAGGCGAGCGGCGGTTCCTAGGAGGGAAAAGGGGAGGTGGAGCCTTCGGCTCTGCCTCGGCAGAGGGCAGGGGTGGGGCCCCCCAGTCCTCTCCGGGGGCAGTTTGGGGTCACGGAGACCTTCAGTCAGGATTGTGACATTATCGATGTATTAAAATGAAGATAAGCCCATAACATTTAAAGCTGGCATGTTTTAGTGAGGGTTGGCTAGAAAATACAAATTCCTTTCGATCTGAAATGCTCTTCCATGACCTTCATGTTTGCTACGACATCTCAGAGGGCAAAACCCAGTGAGGCTCAGGGTGGGGCCGGCGCGATGCTCCGAAGGTCGTCAGACACAGTCAGGTTCCTCAGAAGCGGAGCAGCTCTGGGCAGGCTCCTCGCTGCACGTTTGGACACAGAAAGCGTAAGCAGTGCTCTGGCGACCGAGCAGGCGGCTTCTGAGGCGGCAGGCGGGGCGTCGGGCTGCTCCCGGGCAGCGACCGATTCTGATCGTCCCAGCGCTGCCTCGTCTCAGTGTTAGTTGCGACAGCATTGTCTTTATGAATCGCCCAGTTGCAGTATTTCTGGTTCCCTGAGGACTGTCCCGTCCCGGGGCAGGACTGTCCCGTCCCGGGGCAGCGCTCGCCTGCCCGGCCAGGCGGCGCCTCGTGAGGCTGCGGCCGTCCAGTAGGAAATGATGGCCGCTGGGAATATTTTGACCACACGAGCAAGGGGGGTCATCACGCGAGCTAGCGCGGAAACTGATTCTTCAGAGCATTTGCCCTCCATCCGACCGTCTGATGACAGAAGCCGCACAGCTTGTGTCGGTCACGCGAGAGGTCACGTGGCGCAGAGGCCTGGGAGCGGCGCCGGCCAGAGCGGACGCAGCTCACCGACAACACTCACTCCCGGGCGTCCAGCGAAGACCTGAGGGTCTGACCCGCGTCTGAGCGGCAGAAGGCACCGCCGGCTCGGGAGTCCCGCAGAGCTGCGCGGGGCGGGCCCGGCACAGCGCCTCAAAGCTGCCCCTGGGCCCCGCACCTGGCTCCGTCCCGGCCGGGAGGGGCCCAGGGCAGCAGACCCCTCGGGTCTCCCGGCTGCCCCGCAGCAGGGGTCTCTGACCCCAACCTGCTCTGCTCCCCACTCTCTCTGGGGCGTCCCTCACCCCCACCTCTGCCCACATCCCAGCTCTTGTACACGAAGCCATCTTTAAGCTCTTCTAAAAGGCTGACCATTGGCAGTAAACTGAGGTGGATCTCCCGGTCCACAGGGAAGGAAGGATCAGCCACGAAGACGAAGCGGCTGGGGCGGGACGCACCAGGGGCCGGGGGGGCCGGGGCGGTGTCCACCTGGACAAGTCTGGGCACCTAGCCCTGGACGAGAGCGACTCTAAGGGCCTCACGGGGAACCCCGTGGGGAGGGCCCAAGCGCTACCCACCCGCTCACCCGACCCAGCCAGCCCACAGGGTGGCCAGCGCACAGGGACGTCTCTCAGGCTGGACCCCATCCTGACGCCTGACCATGGAGGGCAGAGGGGTGGCACAACAGCATCAGGTGGCCACTGTGGGGGACGGGCCATAGCACGGGGGTCCTAGCCAAGGCACAGGGGCGGTGAGAAGATTCATGAGTGGGGAGCAGAGCTGGACACAGCCCACAGCTGAGGGGTCAGGAAGGGCCTGCTGCCCCCGGGTCAGCTCTGGGCGGGGATCCGGGGCTGCGCTCCACCCGCTGCCCCACCGGGGCCCCAGGAAGCAGCTGGTCTTGTCCCTTTCTCCCCAGTGAGGGGAGGAGCAGAGCAGGAACCATGAGGCTCTGAGCTGCCCACGTGCGCAGTGACCTGCCGCTCGCAGGCTCCGGCTCAGACCCGGAGGCCAAGTGAGGTCCCCTGAGGCTGCGCGGGGCAACCCTAGCCCCTTGCCTGAGGACTCGCGCCAGTGCAGGCGCCAGCTGGGCGCCCCGCGAGGGTCTGTCCACCCTGCAGTCGCTCTGTGGCTCCCGCTCAGTGATGACCTTGAAAGCTGGGCGCAAGGCACCGCGTGCCCAGTCGGAGCTCCGTCGTCGGGGCACCCCGGCTCCTGGGCACCAGGCCTGCCCGGCAGGGGTGCAGAGGTGACCGTGTCCAGCCTCCCTCTGCGGGGAGCCTCCGCCCTGCTGCTTCCGGGCCTGGCCGCGCTCACCCTGGCATTTTGTGCTTTGGGGTGCCAACTGGGGTTACGCCTGGGCCTGGGCTCCAGGTCTCATGCTGGCCTACAGGGCGCAACAACCTCCGGGGCTATCTGTAACAGTGTAATTGAAAGATCTTTTTAAAAAAGCTTTATTTTTGGGTTCTAAGAGTTGGGGTGCTGCCAGAGTGTGGGGACTCCGCGACTGGGAGCAGAACAGGTGGATCCACAGAAGCCTCCTGCGACAGGGCGTGGGGGGCCGGGAGGGGCCGCCGGGGAGACCCCAGGCCACCGTGCGGCGTGTCCACCACCCGACCCATTGGGTTACCCCAGTTCGGAGCTTCACCTTCGTTTGCTTGGGCGAAACCCGTGCGGAGCCCAGTTCACATACTCAAGCTCCGGCCTGAAGGGGCCTTCGGGGACGCGGTCCGGCCACCTCCGCCCCGCGCCGGTGCCGGGAGCCCGAGCGCCCCCCGGCGGCTG